AATTAAAGAGAGAAATACAGATTATTAGGTTAGTTTGAAACTATCAAAAAGGGTTAGACCAACAATAAGAAAATAAAGTATTTTTGAGCAGCATAGACCACTTAGTCCTTTATTAACTACCAGATCTACAGGAACATGTCAAACATTGCCTGACAGCAACAGAACAGCTAGTCTTATTCAGCAGGATGGGAACATTCTCCACAACAGATCATGTCCTGGGCCATAGAACAGACTCCACACAGTTTAAAAGATTAAGAGCATTGAAAGTTCATTCTCTGCTGTAAGATTTAAGAAACAAACCAAACAATAAATAAAAACTAACAACAACACTGAAAACATGAATAGAACAAAGAAGAAATCAGAAAGAACATTTATAAATAGACATAGCACCAGGTGTTAGTGGCACATGCCTTTAACCTCAGCATTTAGGAGGCAGAGGCAGGCAGATTTCTGTGAGTACGAGGCCATCCTGGTCTACAAAGGGAGTTCCAGGACAGTCAGGATACATAGAGAAATCCTATCTCAAAAAATCAATATATAAATAAGCACATAAATAAATCATAAAAGTAGAGATGGATGAAAATGAAAACACAACAGAACTAATGGGATTCCACAAAAGCAGAAGTAAGAGAGAAACATGCAGGAGTAAAATATCTGCAGAGCCCCCTAGACAGGGCATGCATGGTCCCACAGTAAGCTAAAATCATCACAAATTGAAAGCTTATCATACAGAAAAAGGCTCCAACACTTGGCGAAGTCATGCTCCCAAGACTTTAGCCCAAGCTGTCCTGTTCCAGAGTTTCAAGGATTCATTACCTTACAGCTTCCTCCACCAGGATGACTGCATTTGTATAAAATAACAACACGCACTTAAAAAAAAAAGACAAATACTAAGTCTGACATAGTCCATTTTAAGCTGGACACAACTGGCTTAGTGGTGGTTTTGGTGGTCTCCTCTCTGGTCCCCGTGGCTTTCGCTCAGGGTAACAGCTAGCCATACAGCTTCAAGTAGCAAATTCCAACATCTCCACATGACATATCCAGACAGGTGCTGATGGCGAGGTGCCTCTGTGTACATTTTTAAATTTTTTCTTAGCATTTCAATATTCTCTGGTGCTCCAAGAACTACCTACATGTTTCACGGTCCTGAAGTAGATCAGTTGTGAACCCTTAAACTAAACAGACATGGGATCCCCATTGTCACTTACAAGTCCCTCCCCCGACTGCAACTGCATTCTCTTCCTGCACTGCCATCCAGTGTCTGAGAAATGGGGAAAGTGACTGTTAGGGTGGCAGCCGAAGCCGTTGTCAACAGTTATTTTTGAGCTTTATGTATGTACTATGATTAAGCAATCCCACACCAATAGGTTGTTAATTTTACAAGATTATGAAACATGCTAAAGTCAACATATTTCTAGCTTCTTCACACTTCCAAATTTTCCCCCAAGACAAATTCCTAGTAGCATTTTTTGCATAAAAGCTAATTTTAAGGTTTGGAATAGTCACACATAGATATATATACAACAAAATTACCATCCAGCATGTTTATGCAAATGCATATGTTCACCAAGAGGAGAACAGCTCCCTTCACACTTTCAAGGATGTTAATTAGCTTTAGAATTGTTTTAAATGTTTGTAAATATAAACAAAAGTTGCACAGCTGTCTTGTACTCAACAACATACTGTAAATGTCTTTCTATATTTTGTACATGTGACCTGCTTCCCTTAAAGGAAGGCATGCGGAGTTTTCCATTGCACCACAGTACTGGTTTATCACACCCCTGTTTAGATTTTTCCAGTATCTCACTAGTGTAAGAACCACTCACAGGGATATTCTTGAATGCATATCTTCATTTTCTAGGAAAAATGTTTCTGAAGACTAAGGTTTCATAACAGTTTCCAGTTCAATGGCATGTCTCAAACTGTTTACTGCTTCCTCACGGTCAGATGGTTTCCTCTTCTCAAGCCAAGTGATTTCATATCACCAATACATCAGCTTAGGGGCAGGAGAGATGGCTCAGTGGTTAAGAGCAGTGAATGCTCTTCCAGAGGACCTGGGTTCAATTCCCTACACCTTCACAGTGACTTATAACTGTCTGTAACTCTAGTTCCAGGAACTTCAATACCCTCTTCTGGTCTCTATGAGAACCAGGCATGCATATGGTACAAAGACATACATGTAGGCAGAACACCTGTGCAAAATGGATAAATAAGCTTAGGCAAAATCATTTAGAAAGCAGTCGAGTATTGTATTGCAAACAGTGGCCATTATAGTTCATCTATGTTCTGTTTTGTTCTATCCCTTACTTATTCTCTACTAGGTTTGTGTGTGTGTGTGTGTGTGTGTGTGTGTGTGTATCTTGTATATGTGTTCATATGTATCCATGTATATATGTACATATGTGTATATGTGAGGGGGGTTACGTATATGCCCTTTTTAATTTACCTCACAGAATTGAATTGTTAATATGTCATAGCCACTCTTTGTCTACCATATATTCGAAACACTTTCTCCAGTTTATTATCATTCTCTTACATTTCTTGTATTTTTTATCTTATATATTTTAAATTTGGGCGAATTGTTCCTTGGTAGAACACCATGGCAACTGAATTATAACTCTTTCAAAGTCTTTGTTTTTTTATACTTCTGATGTAATTCATTACTTTTCTTGAAAATTTCTCCTCTTTCTTACTCAAGAATTTAGTACTGGAGTACCACCTTCAAATATTTTTAACCAGGTCTGACTCCTTCCTCTTTCTGTGACTTTAGGACTCCCTCAAACCATGTCACCTTTCACTGTTCACATAGTCATTGCTTTTTGCAGGCTTTATCACTTCTAAGTGTCTCCCAACACGGGCTCCCGGTCTCTGGTCTGACTCTCCTTCAACCCATTCTCTGTCCTGTGACTGTTGATACATATCTAAAAACAAAGCCCGACTCTGTGATTACAAGCTTGCAATTCTCTGATGTTAACTCTGTCACCTGTGGTTGGTGACCGCACCGACCTATCACATGAGGTTCTGTTCTCCCCCACCCCTATACTTTCTTGGGGACTCTCTTCCTTTTTTGTATGTGTCTTCTCACTTTGTAGAATTCTCACTTGCTTCTTCACCTAATTAACTCTTTCTCCTCTAAACACTCTGCTCAAGCTTTGTCTTTCCCATAAGCAGCCCTCAGTGATAGTGCATTTGATATATTCCATGAAACCATTCATAGCAATTGTACTCATAATAATCCAAGACAGTCTAAATGTCCATCAATGATAAAGTCATTTAATAAGATATAAGGTGTGGTTTATTCATGCATTGGAATGGTAAGCAACAATAAAAGCAAAAAACAAACTACTGAGAAACAAACAACATAAAAATACCTTACAAACATCATGTTAAGTAGAAGAACACAGACTCAAATAAGCATAGTATCATCCCACAGACCATGGTGAAAAGCTGAATGGATCCTAAGACACCGAGCAGAGCACACAGGTGACACACGCGTCTGAAGCAAGAGGAGTCCTGCCTCGTTCTGCACAGCAAATCTTTAAAATAAGACTAGAAGGAACCAAACTATTGTGTAGTGACTTACTTGTGTTCCTAGACAAAGACAAGAATGTTTGTAGGAATGCAAAAATAGCTAGAACCAAGCAAGATAGATAATACCACAACATTCCAGCAGAAAAGTAGTGTCAGATATACAAAACAGCAGCGGAAACCACTCAAGAATCACCATTAATGAGAAAATTAAATCACTGAAGCCAATCCTAAGGTGTGGCGCTGAAAAATTATTATCAGGCATTAAAAGAGCTGTGGAATCGGCAACATGTTTAGAGTAGTAAATAGAGACATGGATGATCTGGAAAATGTCCAACTAAAACAGAGTTGGAAACTATGATGGACAGAGTAAAAGTGACTCTGGATAATACTAATAGCTTGTTTGACATCACACATGAGAAGATCAGCACATTTGATGCTGTAGAAAAGAATAAACTAGAAGACATAGTAATACAGATAGCAAAATGAGACACAGATGTTTTACTCATTGCAACACAAGTGACCCACAGAATAACTTTAAAAGTTTAATATTTGTGCAGATTTTCAGAGGAGAGGATAGAGACAGGGAAACTAAATTTTTTTGAAGAAAAAAACTTTAAATCCTAAAAACTTTCAAACCAAATGCAAATCATAAGCTCACATATCCAAGAAGTTTCCAAGCACAAGAAACACTGGAAGCACTGTACCAAAGAATATTGTAATTTAATTACTTCAAAAACAATGATAATGAGACAATGTTAAAAAAACAGCTAGAGGAAAACAGACATATTGTGGAGAAAGGAGATAAGGATAATAGTAGGTTTCTTATCAGAAATCTGAGATAGAAAAACTAGAGTAGGAACGTAGTTAAGATACTGCAAGAAGGAAAAACCTGTCAACCTAGATCTCTATATCTAATAAAAACATCTTTTCTCAAAAAGGTAAACCGAAGGCTGTTTACAACAAATACAAATGAAACATTCCTCATGAGCAGACCTGTACTGTGAGAAATGTTACAGGAAGTCCTTCAGGTAGGAGAAAATGACAGCAGTTCGAAGCCGGAGTCCCCATGAAAGAATGCAGGGCAACAGAAATCATCGCTCCCTGGACAAATGTTTAAAAGTTAACCTTAATAAAGGTAAGCATTGAAGCAAAATAATAACAACTTATTGTGGAGTTTGTAACTGATGTGAATGTGTGGCAACAACACTAATACTACAAGGAAAAAACATCAAGCAAAACCGCCAACACAACCAAAAACAACAACCAAACAGACACCATGAAAAATGACTCAGTGGTTAAGAGCACTTGCTGTTCTTCCAGAAGAACAGAGTTTGTTTCTCAGAACCCACACTGGGCAGCTCCCAACCAACATTTAACTCAGTTTTGAGGGATCAATTTCTGGCCTCAACAGTTAACTACATGTATATATGCACGCAAACACACGTATACATAAATAAAAATAAAGTAAGCATTTTTAAATGAAGCATTTATTGATAAATATATGAAATATTTAGAGGTAAATATGATAATCTCACCTACTGGGAACTATAGAACATTTCTGAGACTAATTAAAGAGTATCTGAGTCCATTGTCGATCGAGAAGCCTCAATATTGTTAAGATGCCAAGTCTTTCCAATTTGTGTTATAGATTTGATGCTTGCTTTCTCATCCAGCTCTTGGAATAAGTCTTTAATATCTAAAAACAATTTTGAAAAAGAACAAGTCAGTTCAATACATCATTATAAAGGTAAAGCAATCAATAAGGTCTGGTATCAGTATAAAGACTCACTAAGAAATTATTGGAACAAAGCAGAATCCAGAAAGATGCTCATTATATGTATATGGAAATGTGGCTTATTTTAATTTTTTAAATTTCTGTGTAGATGTTTTTCCTGAATGTGTGCCTGTGCACCACACATGTACCTGGCGCCCACAGGACCGGGAGGAGGGCATCAAGTACTTTAGAACTCGAGTTACAGACGGTTGTGAGTCACAGTTTGCATGCTGGGAATTGAACCCATGTCCTCCAGCAGAGCAGCCAATACTCTCAGCTGCTGAGCCATCCCTCCAGGCCCGATAAGTAATTTAAAAAAATTATTTTTGAGAAACACATAGGGCTAATTCAGTGGGAAAGGTTTATTGTCAGCACCTGATAGTGCTAGGGCATGGAGGCAGTTTCAGATTTGACCACAAGAACACTTAGATTTCACTTATGGAAGAAACAGCCTAAATACGTCTCAGTGCATGTGGTTTGGATCTTTACTGTCTCCCAAGGGCTCACATATTGTAGGCTCAGTTCCCAGATAATGCACTACTAGAGGGTGACAGAATTTCTAGGAGGTAGCACAGAGCGGAGAAGGTTGGGGGATGCTGGTCATGCCTTTGTTTTCTTTTTCCTTTTCAGTGTTTTGAGGGAGGGTGTCTAAGATATCCCGGGGTGGCCTTGAACTCACTTTGTAACTGAAAACTCAGAAAACAACCAAAACCTGAAAAAAGTTCCTCTGTTTCTGTTTGCCTGCCTATTTGACCTGAGGAAGAATACGGGCACCCTGGGATACTCCCTCAACATCTGCCAGTTAATTTTTAAATGTATCATTATGGTCTCTGAGTGTGTATGACATGGATTTGTGAGTGTGTGCCACAGCACGCTTACACGGGTCAAAGGATAGCTTTCGGGAGCTGTCCCCTCCTTTCTACCTTACACAGGCTCTGGGGATAAATTTCAGGTCCTTGGGTTGGTATCACAAACACTTCTCCCACTGAACCATCTTGCAATCGCCCTCCCAAAAGATCTTTGTAGATCAGGAGATTGAAGACCTTAAGCAACCAGCAGCTACACACTCCTGTTCTTACCAGTCACAGCTGAGAATAACTGAGGCTTTCACTAGAGGTGAGCGAATGAGTATGAGAAGGGCCCTGAGCAGACACTCAGTGGATCATAATTACAACCAGTCCATGTGGAAAGTGAAACATTTTATCTCCGTGATGAGCCCTGATACTCAGGGTATTGTTTCTGTAACTTTTAAGTGAAAAGCATGCTGCCATTAGAGACAGAAATATAGGTCTGTTGCTTACCATTGGTGTAATGCTGAACCCAGTTCTCCACACTGAACTCTGACTTTGCAGTGATCCACTAATATAGTTTATAATTCTCTTGTTATAGTACCCATTATTTTGACCTATTTCATGCCTGATTCCTGTGATTGTCTTTCCCAACCAATGTTTAGTGATCACTAGTCATCACTGATGGCTTCCCAACAGTTATTTGTGTGTAAGAATTTCACCACACATATTTATTTGATGGATACAGAAATTAGAAAGATTTGCGATACTAAGAGCTGGCAGAAACTACAGGTGGCCATCTGGTCAGGAACACAGAATGCCAATGCTTATTTAAGGGTACTATTCATTTAAGGTGGTAGTGGTGCACACCTTTAATCCCAGCACTTGGGAGGCAGAGGCAGGCAGATCTCTGAGTTTGAGGCCAGCATGATCTACAACCTGTCCTGTTCCAGGACAGCAGGTCTATACAAAGAAACCCTGTCTTAGGAGGTGTGGGGGAGAAAAGAAAAGGGTGCTATTTAAATTAAGGTTTAGCAGAGCATACTCACAATCCCAGTACTTGGGATGTAGAAGCAGGAGGACCAGGAGTTCAAGGCTAACCTCAACTATGTCATAGCAAGTTCAAGGTCAACCTGGGTTATGTCTCTAAACGATAAATGTTTAAATTTTATATATTTATAAATAACCAAATAGTGTGCAGAGTAAAGCCTAAATTGGGTATGATGGCACACACATAATCTCAGCACTCAGGAAGCTAATATAGGAGCTACTGGAGTTCAAGGCCATCTGAACTTCACAGTAGATCTTTAAAAAAAAGAAGCTAGGTGATAGTGGCACATGCCTTTAATCACAGCACTCAGGAGGCAGAGGCAGGTGGGTCTCTATGACCAGGCCAGCCTGGTCTACAAAGAGTTCCAGGACTAGCTCCATAGCTGCTGAGAAACCCTGTCTTGAAAACGGAAAAAGAAAAGAAAAGAATAAAATCCAATGTCTTCCTTAGTTATAGAGGAATAGTACAACCCTACCCAAAGCCTCCCTCATCTCCATGCTTTGGTCCTATTTGACTTTCTTTCAATTCTTTGAATTGAGAGAAAACCACTTAAAACAAAGTCAGTGCTTTATTATTTTGAATCCCACAAAACAGCGTCATAATAGATGTCTGCTGGTATGGACCGAGCAATAATTTTGAGAAAGAAAGCATCATTAAATGCAGAATAATCCTCTCCAGAGGAAATATTATAGTCTTCATTCATTTCCTGTTGTAATTCCTTGATAAGTAGGGAAATTCTAAGCCAAAGACTGAAGAAATCGCATCATTAAGTTGTGCTCAGTTGTGCTGTCTTGGCTCTTGGCCCTCTCTCCTCTTTGCTCTCTCGCTCTCCCCAGCACTCTCTCCTCTCATGGCCCAGTGAGTCTACTGGCCATGTTTAGTCTACTGCTTTCTCTCCCTACTCTGGACTCACCCAGATGCCTCTCTCTTATATCTACAATAAAAAACTTTTCCTGTATCATAAAAAAGTGAGGCTTATTCCACATAGTGCTGTGGCCAGGATGCATTGAGCTTCACTGTCCTCATTCATACACTTCTAACACAAATGTATCAACCCTTTGCTTAGTCAAGACTGAATTATCAAATTCATAGGTTACCTTGGTTTTTGCTTCTACTCTCTCTAGCTATGGGCACCTTCTTCTTATTCCTTGAGCATGACTGGTGGTGGGATTGACTCATGAATAAAAGAAACATACGCCTTGCATAAATGGCAGGAAGGAATATGAAGAGATCCAATACCACCTATGGGTAATTCTGTTGCTGGATATAAATTGTATTAAAATAAAAGTGTCTTGGGATTTAAAATTCAGGGGTATTTATTGACTTATTTATCATTAGAGAAGGCTCCTTGTGACAAACAAAGAGCTAATTAAATGAAGTCTTCTAGTATTCTATTGCCTTAGAGCAGTATCGTTGTCCATAAACTGGACAAAACATGGATGTGACACCACTGAGAGCTGTGGTCAGTCATGCTTGTCCCATCTGACTATACTTTCTTTAGTGGCAGGAAATCTACCATCTACCCCTATCACTCATGGTCAGTTAATTGACTGTTTGGATTCTGTGTTGGTCTGGCTATAATTCTTCAAAGAATGAAAAAAGTCTTGTGAATATCCTGTCAAGTATAATTCAGCCTGTATTTCTTATACTTCTCATCACTGTAATACTTCACATGTGTGAAAATTTATGCACACAAACACAAACAACACACACATGAATGTCGACATCTTTAGAAAGGGTGAAAAGATGTTTAGAGGGAGATGGATGGGTGAAGCTTTAATGTGTGCATATTATCTTGGATACATATGCCAATCCATGTATGAAAATCACACATTGAAAATAGAGATGTGATGGGGAAGTCCTTCTGTGTATATGTTGACTTATTGCTTGATAAATAAAGCACTGTTGGTCAATAGGGAAGCAAGATAGATGGGACTAGGAGTTGAGGAGGATTCTGGGAAATGTAATCAGGAGTGGAGAGTTGCCATGTGATCCCGGGAAGAGAGGGCAAAAGTCTGGTGTTCTCAGTAAGATAAGACCTTATTAAAAATATATTAGTATATTATGGATTAATAATTAAGTCAGAGCTAGCCATTAAGGAACCATAGCAAACGGCCAATGCTTCATAATTAATATAGCGTCCTGCATGTTCGTTTGGGACTGATGCGGCTCAGGGACCAGGCTGGCGGGAAGAAGGCACATTACAGAGGAAAGCAGACTGGGAGTGACATAATGCAGGACCTGTTCTGGAACTCACTATGTAGACCAGGCTGGCTTCCAACTGACTGAGATTCACCTGCCTCTGCCTCCCTAGTGCTGGGATTAAAGGCGTGCCCCACAGCCGCCTAACCATTTCATACTTCTTAATCTCCTAGTACGCTTAGAAGTGACTTGTTCCCTCACTAGGAGGTGTAGAAAGGAGGAAATAAAGAGAAGGGCTGTGAAATACATATACTGAGCTAATTAAGAAAATACAGTAACAGCTAAAATGTTTTTTTAACCTTCTCCACATGCCAGGTATACTAGGAGAAGGTGCTATCATTATCCATATTTCACACATAATAGAATGGAAGCCCAGAGATATTAAATAACTGGTCTAAGACCACACAGTAACAAATGGAGAAGAGACAAGAAGGAGACTAAGAGGCAAGAGAACTACGTTCTAAATATTATATTACTGCCACAATAATTATTCATAATTAACCCACAAATTAAAATGCTAAGTGCCTAGGTTACATTTACACTTAGCACAAATGCTAAAGGGGTCAGAGATAGTTCTTCTCTGATCAACACTTTGTAGACATTTCTGTCTTTTACAATGGATAAAGGAATATTAGGAGATGAGGAAACATCCCAGAAGCACAGAAGAGGAAGAGGAGGAGGAGGAGGAGGTGAGTTTAGGAAGAAATGGTCACATGAGCCTCCTTGAAGGAAAGAAATGGGAGTTGGCCTAAATATTTTAAAACTGAGTCATCAGCACTCCCATCCCTAACTGATTTCTTGTTTCCTAACTTTGAGCTATCCAGATTTCTGTACATCTGATTTATTGTGTAGGATCATACTCACGTGGAAATGCCACCAACTTCCACAGGAAATTTTAGCTTGAAAACCCCAGATTCCTGCAATGATGGTTTCAAACGCAATAAAAAACTCTCCAACAGTTAGCTCCCAGGGCCCACTCCAGTCACTGAGATACAGTAAATTGTTTGAATGGATTAAAATATTCAGTGCTGTGGAGGTGCATTTTGAAGGTCAAGACATCACAGCCTTGCTGTTTGACTGCTAGTGCTGTGTCCTTCCGACTGCTGCCCGACAACTCATTCCGCAGCTTGTCAAAACATCCCATTCTCTGAGCGTGGCCACGACTTGCAAAAGGTCTTCATTTATACCAGAACATTTGGAAAACGATCTGCAGTATACATTGTTCTGTAAAATATAGAATCAAAAGGTGGCAACCCATCAAAGTCAAGAAATGTCACTTGGCTACAATGGGTGGGCTGCAGACCTGGCCACCCACTCACCAGCTGCAGGAAATGAATTTAAAGTAAGTTGGTCATTTGTCTCAGGACAAAGTACAACTGCCAAATATTTTATCCCCATTTGTCAGCCCTGCTCTATTCCAGTGAACTCCATCAATCCGTGGGTAGCCGCGTTGCTTATTCTCTGTAGAACAATAAGCTTAACCCACTAGGTTTATTTGTTTAAGTCATCTGGTGAATTCTTTTAAATTATGCCTTGTTTCTAGTGCCGCTCGTGTTTTGCATTCATGTAAGCTTCTGCTGCAGCTGCTCCGGAAGAAAAGAAAAGGCGGCTCTTGCAGAGCAGTGAATAGAGAATACGATTTTAAACTTTCCTTTCTTTCTCCTAAATTTAGCACCTGGCATATGGAATATTCAGCGGGTGGCTCAGCAGGGACAGGCTTACTGTTTTTCATACCTGCCACTGAGGTGTTTGACATTTTGGCTTGCTAAAGAACAAATTTTTAAGCCCATTATTGTGCCTACCCACCCCTGTATATGAGAGAGAGGGGGAGGGAAGGAGGGAGGGAGAGTTTGCATGCTCAGTCTTATACTTATGGGCATGGTGAGCAACCACTCAGGTCTCTAAAGGGGAGTCTAAGAGATTCTGGCTGCTAATGCATAATGTTCTACAGCTAAGAAACACATATTGAATGATTTAAATCCCTCTAGAGGTGGAGGAGAAGGGGGCTGTTTACAATCCAGGAACTATACTTACCACCTTAGAAGAATCTGTGAATATTATTTGAAGATCCCAGTTTAATGTTCACAGCATCTCCAATGTGTGAAAAGCAGCTACAGAATCACAATTACATAACACATAACACAAGTACATAAACACTTATGAACATGGCATGCAATATGTACTAGTCTAGGTAATAACACTTTTTAAAAAATTAAAGTTTCAAATGTGAACATTTAGACATGGACATCGAGAGGGTAGAAAAGTCCCAGGTGATCCCAGTTCTTGGCAAAGAACAGAATCGTTAATGTTCTGATGAGAGGCCACTCATTGCCTTTTTGGTCTAGTCTAGATTGAAGTTGTTGTCATTGACCTCCTCCCCCAACCAGAAGTCTCATGTGTTGAAGGCTTGACCCAAGTGATGGCATTATAGAGGTGACTGGATCCTGAGGACACTGACTTTATTAGCAAATTAACCTGCTGATAAATTCATTGCTGAAAGGGCTATTGGGAGATGGGCCTGGTTGTAGGAGGGTCATGGAGAGGCCTTGTGACTTTGAGGGACGGATCATGCTCTCAACACTTCCTCCTTCTTTCTCCCTCTGCTTTCTGACTGTGAGCAAAAGATTCCAGAGTTCTTTGGAAACAAAAGCTAGTGATAGGGTTTTGGGATTGACCTTAGTGGTAAGCTAGCACCATAGCTTATCATCTCCAGCCAGGGACTCTGATTTTTTTCAGGCAATGGTGACAGCAAGGAAATCCTAGGCTGAATTTGGAACACTTAATTTGCATTTTCCTTTGCATCCAGGCAGTATAGAACTATAAAAATGAGACTACAAACTGTAATAGTGCATAGCTATCTACGAATCACCAGGAGAATTGTGACTATACCAAGATCTTTACAAGCTTTTTAGTTTTTTTAAAAAGTCATATAGGGCTGGAGATATGGCCCAGCAGTTAAGAGCTGACTGCTAGTCCAGAGGACCCATGTTCGATTCTCAGCACCACACAAATGCTTGCAACTCTATGTAACTACAGTTCAGGGGATCTGATGCCCTCTTCTGACCTCTGTGGGCAGCAGGCAGGCATGTAGTACACAATCATATATGCAGTCAAAATATCCACACACATAAAATTAAAAACAAATAAATCTCAAATTTTAAACATTTATTTTTATTACTTTTAATTTAATTTTTGTATTTATTGAGACTTTCATAGGAGTACTACTTTTACATCATTTCTGCCCCTCCATCTCCCACTCCAACTCCTCTTGTACTCCCTGAAACTCCCTCTCAAATTCATGCCCTTCTTTTTGTTGTCAGACACACACACACACACACACACACACACACACACACACACACACGAGTATGTATATATGTATGTAGAGAACCTAAAGAATCCATTTAATGTTGCTCATATTCACATGTGTTTAGGCCTGACCACTCGAGAATGGAGAACAGATCAAGGCAGCTTGTCTCTAGAGAAAACTGGTTCTCCACTCCCTCCCACCCTCCCACACCTCTCCCCACCCCCCTCCCCGCAATGTAGCTCTTCATCTAGGGTAGAACCTTGTGAAATTTCCCCCATCCATATTGTCGTATCAGCTGGTGGTGTCATGATGCGGGTCTTGTTTAGGCGATTACATTGTTGAGATTTCATACGTGAAGCTTCCCTATTATTCTTGAAGACACTAGCAGGAGGCATCCTATATGCATCCTGTGTTTCTGTATGTGGTTTTCCACATGTGATTACAGGTGTTCTTAGAGGTCAGAAGAGAGAGTTAGATGCCCTGGGCCTAGAGTTACAGTGTTTGTGAGCTGCCCAACACGTGTGCTGAGAATCAGACGGTGATTTTCTGAAAGAGCAGTAAACACACTTACCTGCTCATCTGGCTCTGCAGGCCCAGCATTTCAAAACCTTAAAACTGTTACCATTAGTTATAAGTGGATAGAGAAATGGAAAGATAGTAAAGCTGTTGTTTATTCAGTATACTAGAAGTTACGGTGTTAGAAACACTGAGGCATTTCATTTCTTTGTTGAAAATGTAGGGAGAGTAGTTCGAACATTCCCTCCTTTGCATAGCATACTATCTGGAGGGTAGCCTACTGGTGAAGTATTTAGTGCCTTCCCAAGTTTTGGTCTGATTCTAATGTTTTGCCCTTTGCATAATCACAAGAAGTATTTCTGAGAGTTTAACATGGAGCTCTTGTTGTCTTTACTTCTCAGACATTTTCACTCTTTCTGCTGCCCGCATTTTCCTTCACATGCTAAGTCCACTTTCATCAAGCTCTGTCAGTCAGCGTCTGGAGTCTCTCACACGATGGTGGGGTCAGCATTCCCACAGTCAGCTGACACTTGTTCTACTCATGCTTCCATTTGAATTTCACTGCCAAATGTATCATTTTGGCATCACTTGCTGCAATTTCTTGCCAGTTAGCCAAATCTCTTCACTTTCATGAACCCTCCTTTGAAGGTGTCACCAGAGATGCCACACACCCAGAGACAGCATACTGTTTCTGTCTGCCTGTGACTGAACAGAAGATACAGAGTGACCAGTCACTGACAGACAGCAAATGAACTCAAGTGATCAGTCATTGATCATGATATGTTTCTATCCTTTACTTCATGACTTTGGACTTAAGAGCTGTCAACAAAATTTATACTATATGCCATTCCTGAGTTGAAATGGCCTATGGTTTTAAAAAAATGTGGAGCCATAATGTTGGAGGAGGGTTAATTTTCAGGAGTATTGAAAATACGCTCCTAGAACCATGCAGAGCTAGGTTGTCTGTGAACAATCTCAGGTCAGAGCTGGTAAGAAAAGTCTAGGTATGCCCAAGAGACACCCATTCTCTCCATTTATTACCTCCTCTTTCCTCCAAGCTTTCAGCCATTTCATTTACATTCTCTCATCTCCACACAGAGACAAGGAGAATTTGCACTAAAACCTTATGAGTCAATGTTGCTATTGATGATTTGTGTTTAAATATATAGGCTAAGATACAGTTCTCACATTCTATAGCCATGGATATTTGCATTGCTTAAATAATGTTCTGTCATAAAGAACACTATTCATTTTAATACCTTTACTCTAATAAATTCTGTATTGTCCAACATTCCAGTCATAACAACCTGTCCCTTCTTTGATTCAGTACGCCAGGCACTGTAGTAATACTTGGAATATGTTATATTCCTGTACAAAGCACACAGTCATCTTGCCTCTGTGGACTATAATTTAATTGGTAGTTAGGGCATACAGCAATAAACACCAAGCAGATTATAGTATTTGGGGCAATTAATAATAATGAGGTTATAAATGAGAAAAAAGAGACATCTGAACACACATAAAAAATGATTCACAGCTTTGGCCAGATGATGAGGTGGACAGGATGTGCCTCCGGGCACAGTGCTCTGAGCATGATGTCGTGTCACATGTAGTACTCTGACCAGATATGCACATCTTCAAGAGGAGACACCAGGCAGATCTCAAGTAAAGACCATTCTATAAAGAGAAAAGTAGTTAGAAAACAATAGGGTCATAAACGATAAAGTGAGGGTTTTTTGGTATGTTTATTTATTTTGTTTTATTGGGTTTTGAGACAGGGTCTCTCTATTGTCCTAGAATTCATTATGTAAACCAGGCAGGTTTGAACTCACCTGCTCCTGCCTTCCAAGCTCTAGGATTAAAGGTGTGTGCCACAACTCACTAAGGTGGTAAAAGGTATTTTGTTTTGTTTTTCGATTTTTGGCCTCCTTATTGCCAAGAAGTCTTTTACCAAAGTACAGTGACTGAATTTCTGTTACTTGCAGTAAATGTTTGTCCTAAGTTTATTATGTCTTCTTTCTTTTTAAAAAATGTATTTTTATTTTATGAGTTTTTGCCTGCATTTATGTATGTGCACCATGTGTGTTTCTGGTGCCCATGGAGACCAGAAGAGGGTATCAGGTCCCCTAGACCTGGAGTTATAAATGGTCTTCAGTCACTGAGCATCAAACTCAGATCCTCCAAAGGGCAGTGAGTGCTCTCAACCACTGAGTCTTGTCTCCAGACCTTCAGTGTCTTAAGCACTTTTTTGGTGTGTATGTGTGTGTGGTGGGGGGTGGTCTCAGTATGTAGCCAAGGCAGGCCTTGAACTTGCTATGCTGCCAGGGATGACACTGAATTTCTGATTTTCCTCCCAAATGCTGGGATTATAGGCATGCACTAGCCACCAAATCTAGTTTATCTGAGTACAGAACTCATGCTAGCCAAGCACTCTACTACCTGAGCTACAATCCCAGCCTGTAAAGCTTAAATACTCCGCTTGTTTCATTCTCTCATTCATTAGCTTCACAGAACACCTGCTGGCTCAGTTACAAATTTACTATTGAGAGCTCATGCCTAAATTATCTCATAGCCTCATGGGCATTTCTGAGCTTAGGCTGAGTTCTTCCAGAAACAAGAACTTTCGTTTTTGGGGGGTGGAGGGAGCATTGGTTTTTCAAGACAGGGTTTCTCTGTGTAGCTCTGGCTGTCTTAGATCAGAACTCACTCTGTAGACCAGACTGGCCTCCAACTCCCAGAAATCCACCT